CGCATGGAGTGGCAGAGCATGCTCGAATCCGTCCTCAACTCCGAAGTCCTCAAATCAGAGACAAAACGCATCAACTCGGTCGATACCCCGGACCTCTCCCGCCAAGAGCTCAGCTACCAGCGCTGGCTCGATATCAAGGCCACCCTGCGCGGTCGTGGAATGCAGCGTGGCGCCATCGACGAGGAGGAGAAGCGCCTCAAGGGTGGCTTTGGCAAGATGCTCAACGACCTCGTAGCCGAGGTGCGCGAATGCCGCGCCCACCACATCGCCCAAGCCGAAAGTCGCGAGCTACGTCCTAGCTCGTCTGCAGGCAACCTCTCCAGTTCCGACGTTCAAAACAAGCCTGCCTCTGACCCCGAAGCCTCCGCCGAAACACAGTCCGATAGACGCGACTCCGACTCCGCTTCGGTCGCTACCGCCGCCGCAGACAAGGAGATGGTGCTCGCCGAGATCGGCTCGCTTCTCAGCCGCATCGACAGCGCAGAAGAACAGTTCCCTAGCACAAGACGAGCCGTCGAGATCGTTCCCGCGTGGGGAGAGACAGAAGTCCAGTCGAAGCTCGCCGCGCTTTACAGCTGGTTCAACACCACCACCTCGCTCCGCCTCCAGATCGGCATCCTGCGCAAGTGGACCGGTTCCGAAACGCTCGAGATCGCAGCACACAGCTCGCGCAACTGGGACAGCGAGCACAAAAAGAGCGCAGAGCAGCACGACCAACCGCGCTCAGGTCGCCCTCCCGTCGATGACGAGAGCACCTTTGTCGAAAGGATCCAGAAAGAAGGCTCGCTCCAGTCGACGTTTGAGAAGCGCACTCTCGCCAGCCTCTACCAGCTCATCACAAAGGCAAAGGAGACCATCTTCAAGCATCACAAGGATTTCGAGCGCTTGGCCCTGCCCTCCTTCGAGCCTGAGTTGGTCACGCTCATCAACTTCCCCACCCGTCTCATGCAAGGCGCCCTGCGCTTGCGTCTCGATTACGCCGGCAAGCTCGCCGAGCCCAGCGTCCTCATCGTCGACTCACTCACAGATGACCTGCGCACTGCGCTCGCCATGGCCTGCAGAGTCAAGCTCCACTACACTAGCATCATTGTCGCCGATCCCGATCGCGGATGGGATCTGGCACCTTGCATTGCCCAGGGCTACGACGACGTGCTGCGTAGCGCGCTCAAGTTCTTCTTCAAGCTGCTCCGACTCAAACTCAAGGCGAGCGTCTACTTTAAAGAGACAGAGATCTTGGAACCCGAATGGCGCTTCCTCAGCACCGCCGTAGAGTCGATCGAGGGCGGAGACATCATCGTGGCCACCAACATCACCCGCTTTGTCAACAAGCTCTTTGACCGTATCGCACGCTACTTCAACCGCGAGCTCACCGCCACCATCCTCCAACAGGATCGGCACGGCCGTCATCTACCCAAGCCCACTTCGGGACCCGTCGGCCTCGCCAAACCGGACCCCGCCTCAAACATGGGTTCCGCTGCTGCTACCGGCAGAGATGTTCACGGAAAGAGCTTCGTCACCCTCGAGGATCGCGCAAAGTGGATCCACAGCGTCTTCGACAATGTGCGCATCCGATCGCGAAAGCTGCTTGGTTTTGCCCGAGACATCCGAAATCGTCTCGACAACGCGGCCGAATACGACCTTGGCACCCTGCGGCCCTCGGCCGAATACCTTGAAGCCGATGACCGCTCCGTCGCCGAGCACAGTGATGTTGCATCCTCCAGCGCCATGACGCTCAGCTCCTTCATGCTCACCTTGATCGATCACGACTACTTTCTCGTCTACACCGAGGCTCTCGAGGAGAACGGCATCTACCTGGTCGCCGAGCCCAGCCTGCAGGACAAGCCCGAGCTCATTCAGGACCTCTTGTGCAAGTGCTTGCACCGCGTCCGTCCCGGTGACGAGGACTCCGCGATGGCCGCGGAGGCCACCGCCAATGCGCTCAACGCCGATGGCGACGACGGCGATGAGACGACCGCCGCCGGAGTCGGAAACGCAAATGCATTGCGCGAACAGATCGACAAGCAGACGGGTGCCGCCTCTGCATCTGGTGTCGCTGGCGCCGGCGCCGGTCGCAGTGACGAGGATGCTGAAAGTCATCCACGATACATCCTCCTCCTCAGTCCGCGTGACCCTTTCATGTGGACGGGCAAGGTGATGCACCACGTCATGCCTCGCGTCGACATTGCGTTGGCAGACCGCCGTGTGCGCCTCATCGCAGACGGTGCAAAGGGACGCCTGGAGCTAGCCAAGCGCCACTTTCAGAGCATCTTCTCGCAGCCGACCCAGGCTGGCGCACCGGAAGACGAGGACGCAAGCGACGATGGTCACAACACCTTCCCGCTCGAGACGCTCAACGAGCAGATGGCGCACATGAGCCGCGTGCAATCCGGCCTCGAGGAGATCAACAAGGGCGTATACATGCTTTCGGACACCATCATCCGAAAGGTCCCCGAGATCCGCCGACGTCTGCGCGGCCTGGGTGTGCGTGCACGAGCCAAGAGCGGCACGCCGCGCTCCACGACGTCCGATAATACAGCAGGCGTGCTGGGCGGCAATTGCGACGAGCTCATCCAGAACTGCTACTCGATGGCAGCCGAGCATGGACGTCGTGCGCTACCGTTCATCGAGTCGGTGCGCCTGCGCGACCAGATGACGCTCGCCTTGGGTCGGCTGGCGATCGACTGGATCGCCTTCATCTGTGACGACTGCATACCGAGCGAGCGCAAAACGTTCAAGTGGGCCGTCTCGGCACTGGGGAACGCCAACCACATCACCTCTGCCGAAAACATCTTCCGGCTCAATGAGCAGGACTTTGCGCTGCTGCGCAGCAAAGTGGCGTCGTGCATGGCGCTGCTCATCTCGCACTTTGATATTCTGGGCGCGAGGAGCAGCGTGGCCAAGGCGCAGGAGGATCAGGAGCGCCTCGAGCGCGAGAAGGCCGAGCGCCATCGCATCTCGGCCGGCGGCGCGGATGCAGCTCAGAGCCTGTCCGAGGACTTCCAGGCGCTGCGACTGCAGAGCAGCGGCGAGGCGACTTCGTCTGCCCAGGCCGAGCGCGCCAAGTCGGCGCTGGTGGGACCAGGGATCGGCGCACAGATGCTGTTCAACAAGCTGGATGCGGCGATGCAAGCGACCGAGGAGCGATGGATCTCCAAGGTGCTCGAGTGGGATGCAGCGCGCAGCCAGATGGAGGCGGAACAGCGTCTCATCGGACGCGTGCTGGACGACACCCGGCTGGAGGATCGCAGCTTGCAATTCCTCGCGCAGTCGGCGTCCAAGATCACCATCCGTTGGCAACAGGGCCAGTTCATCGGCGGCGGCACGTTCGGCACAGTGTACCTCGCGGTGAACCTGGACAGCGGAGGACTGATGGCGGTCAAGGAGATCCGGTTCCAGGACATTTCGTCGACGCCCAGCCTGTACCAGCAGATCAAGGACGAGATGGAGGTCATGTCGATGCTCAGCCACCCCAACATTGTCGAGTACTACGGCATCGAAGTGCACCGCGACCGCGTGTACATCTTCGAGGAGTACTGCCAGGGTGGCTCGCTTGCCGCGCTGCTCGAACACGGGCGCATCGAGGACGAGGCGGTGATTCAGATTTACACGCTCCAGATGCTCGAAGGCCTCATCTATCTGCACTCGCAGGGCATCATCCATCGCGACATCAAGCCAGACAACATCCTGCTCGACCACATGGGCGTGCTCAAGTACGTCGACTTTGGTGCCGCCAAGATCCTGGCCAAGAACAGCCGCACCATCCAGCGCTCGCGCAAGACGGGCGGGCTGGGCAATATCGGCGTGATGGCGGCGGGCGAGGCGGGCAAGCAAGGCGGACCGGCAGGCGCGATGGCGAGTCTGCAGGGTACGCCCATGTACATGTCGCCCGAGGTCATCAAAGGCAATGCCGACGTGCCTCAGTCGGCCGCGGACGTCTGGAGTCTCGGCTGCGTCGTCCTCGAGTTCGCCACGGGCAAACGGCCGTGGAGCAACTTTGACAACGAGTGGGCGATCATGTTCCATATTGGCATGGCCGAGCAACATCCGGCGCTGCCGGATCCGAGCCAGCTCTCGCCGCTGGGTATCGAGTTCATCCGCCAGTGTCTCACGATCAATCCGCGCCAGCGCCCGACGGCGATCCAGCTCAAGGAGGATCCGTGGATGCTGAGCCTGATCGAGGAGCTCGATGCGGCCAATGCGGCCGAGGAGGCTGCGGAGCTGGCGGGCGGCGGAATGTTGGCCGAAGGTGGTTACGACGATATGTCGAGCCATTCGAGCGGGTCGAGCGCCAACTCGCTCGAGCCGGGCCACCACGCGGGTGCGTTCGGCGCGGCGCCGGCGACGCCCGGCGTGGGAGTGGCGTTCAAGAGCCTGGACCGCAACGTGAGCTCGCTCAACAGCACGCGCAGCCGGTGGTCGAACAGCGAAGCGGCCGCCTCGGCGTCGAGTGGAGGCACGGGCATCACGACGCCGTACAACCCGAGCATGAGCTTGCGCGCCAGCCTTGGCTTCCGTCAGCAGCAGACGCAGCAGCAGCAGCAGCAGCAGCAGCAA